TACTTTTGATACTAACTGAAATGTTCCTCTCACCAAAACAGTTAGTGACTTTCAGATGTTTGAACATAGTAGATTAATGCAGGTCACATTTTGATGTTACCATTATGTTTCTGTGACCTTCTAAGGACCAGAAAATAGCTGTGTGCCACCCAACCTCGTTCTCCCCTGAGCCATCATGTCTGCATTCTAAGTAACCTGACAGACCAGAGGCAAACATGTTTCCATTAGAAAATAAATTATAAATCAGTATGAATTTTGTTCATATCAATGCTTGTTTATTTTAGGCCAGCTCCATAAATCTACCCGCCGCAATCACTGAACAGCCCTCCTGAAACCACTCTGCCCCTCAGTGATGACAGTGAGTGAGTCTTGAAGGTTTAACCTCACCATACGTGTTATCCCACGCAGAAACACGGCCCACTCCCGGGGGGGCATGCAGTTTATTTGGTAGGGTCCTGTTGTGACTCACGCCAGGCGGTATAAATCACAAATAAACTTATAAAGGAGTCGCTATGACACTGCCACTGCTGGTGCCCGGGGCTGCGGGAGCAAGCATCTGATATTGAACCTGAATAAAAGTGACATGTTTGAGGAGGAGAGACAACTTGGATGCTGCAGCCACGCTTCAGGGCAAAGGGCGACGGCGGTTTATTCTAGGACTGTAGTCTGCGTGGGTCGACTGCAAGGCTTTCCAGCCGTGACTTAAGCATTATTATTAGTATGTTGATGATGTAGTGTTGGGTCTTTTGGGGCTCTGACGTGTTTCCACCTTCCACTCAGTAATATTGATGTCACTGTTGCTGCTTAGGGTTAAGGAAAAATAATAGATGAGCCAAAAAGTAAACACAGCTTACTTCCTCCAAACATAAACCCTATCAATCAATCTTTTGGCAAGTCTATTTTTCATGGTAAACACTGTTTTGTGCAACACAGAGAAATCAGGAAAGTTGGCACTTACTCAGCAACATTTGTCAGTTTTCATTAATGTGGGATTGATTGCTTTGTAAAAAATGTGACAGTTTACAGACAACAGCAGAAAGAATCTTACATTATTACTACAGAACACAAGTCTGTCCCAAACACACACCAAAATTTTGTAATAGTGGATTTCTACTTTCAATGCACTCAGAAATAATTGTCAAAAAAGATTTTGATTGGGATACTTAATTGTTGCCATCCATTCACTCGTAACGCAGAAATCACCCAATAGTAAAAATAACAGTTAGTCTTAACTGACCCTTTTTTTCAACAAAAAACATGAGTTTATTCATTCTTAATGAATAGTTAACTCATATTTGAAACACATTTCTTCAATTAAGTGCACTGTATTCATCATTACGACTCAAAATACCCTCAATTTCTGAAATATGTCCATAAAACAGGATGTTGAAAACCTCCTGAGATGAATATTCTGTGGATATAATCAACAGGTATTAAAAGCTGATTGTATCATTAGAAAATCAAATCAGAAACATATTTCAAATATTCAAAGAGTATTTCATCAATATTTTTGAAATAGTGAGTAAAACCTAATAATGTTTATATGATATTTTGACATGTATAACTAATATAACAGTTCATGTTTACTTTAAACACAGTTTAAACACAAATTATGTTCTTTAACAACATGATTAATAGACTAATACGTGCCTTGCGCTTACTCTTTGCCTCGCACTCAGCTATGCTTGTTTAAAAAGGGGGCGTGGCTCTACTGCAGTCCACTTTAGATGATGGACAACACTGTGATTGGTTAATAGACATCTCATCAAATAATGCTGTGATCCATTTACGTTGCTACGAGCGATGAGACTCAAGATGATTTCGTAAATGCGTCCCCTTTTGCATTTGTACCATTTACGACCTAAACGTAAAAAAGGTGGATGCCTCCAAGAAAGCAGTTGTCGCTATTGCAGTAGCGGAGCCTTAATCATTATTATTATTATATATATTATTATTACACTGCTAGCTACTTTAACCAATACCAACTAATAAACAACACATACAAGACATTCCATGCACAACAATATATCATAAAGCATTCCCATAAGGCATTATAATGTGTACGACTAATTAAAATGAAGACTCAAACAGTAAAAACAATAGTAAAGAGCAGAGTCACTTATGGTAAATATAGGGCGCAGCCATCTTTGCTTTAGTCAGTCTTTTGAAACTCCTAGTCCTCTGAGTTCGTATGAGACCACTACTAGTAGAAAGTTAAGCACCAGACAGTATGCAAAGTTCATAGCACCATTAGTGGTGAAGCTAAAGATCATCCACCTCGCTATCTATTCATCCACCCACCTATTATTTAATCTCTTTATTCATTTATTATATCTGTCTCATGGGTTGGTTGTGGACAAAGCATATAGATGTAGATTTCAGGGGAGACATAGGGGACTTGTATTTTGACTAAATTAAAGACATTTCCANTAAAGATCATCCACCTCGCTATCTATTCATCCACCCACCTATTATTTAATCTCTTTATTCATTTATTATATCTGTCTCATGGGTTGGTTGTGGACAAAGCATATAGATGTTACATGTGCATTAGTAGCAGAGGACTTTGATTATGACAAAATTAAAGACATTTGCAACATAAATTCATACAGAGATGGCACAAATCAGTGCATTCAAATTCAACAGAGAGCAGGAAATTAAGTGTTTGATGCTGAAAATGTTCTGGCAGAGGACCCCCAACCCCCCATTTCATATGTGTCGCCCCTAATGTTCAAATGAAACCTATGCCCTTGACAAAGCATCTGCACAGTGCACGGTTAAATACTGTTTCTGTGTGTGTGTGTGTGTGTGTGTGTGTGAGAGAGAGAGAGAGAGAGAGAGAGAGATCTGGCTGGTCTCGTCACAGTAGACCTTTTGATGGTCTCACTTTCAGTATCACATGTTTTCATGGTTGCCTGGCACCTATAAACAAGTACACGTCAAATGAGGCACATGAACCAGTGAATCAGAAATGTTTGCGTGACATAAGTATTGGATTCATGGTAAATCCAATGTGCAGTAAGCACAAATTTACAACAGTCTGACAGAGAAAATCCAAACAAGAGCTATGATTGCATTTTGTTCTCATGCAAAATCCACCGAGCATCTAATACAGCATATATCTTATAATAACTCAATCTGTATATGTAACATTAGAAGCTTATGCATGTGCAGTATTAAAGATTTGGAAATCTGAAGTGAGTTGAAATAGTATATAATGGTTGAGATTTAATACAACAATTTGCTTATAACTAAAAAGTATAAAGATTTTAAAGATAAAAGTCATTGTAAATTTCTTTTTATATGTTTATATTTTTTATCATGTCATGTCCCACTGACTGCATGGGTTTGTTTCAACACCTCATAACAAGTGTATTCAGTTCTGCTAAGCACTGTCCTGCTGATGTGTCCATGAGTCAGCTCCTCCAGCTCCAGGGGTGCTGGCGTGTAGGTGACCCCGACCTCGAAACGTGGCGTCTCCCTCAGTTAACGACATGAAATGAGGCACAGTCTAACCACTGCCAGCTGGGAGGCCGCTGGGCAAAAATAGTACAACAGTGACCTCTGCTGTGTGTTAGTGGCCACTGCCTGATACTGTCAAAAATATATAAGGGAGTGTAGTTTGGTCTGATATGATGATTTTGGTCATTTTTTGCGTGTTAATTTATTCTAAAATGGACACAATTGCATGAGATTAATACAGAATTAATGACTACATTTGGGATGAAAATTATATTTAAGTGGGATGAACTCATCATTGGTCTTTTCGACAAATATTAAAACAAAATACCTATTTAGAACACCGAGTGTACCTGCTCAACAAGCTATTACAAAGAAATGGCCTCAGTCAATAGAGAACTGACATGATATCATTCATGAAATCTTTGTAATGGAAAGAATTACTTGCTCAATGAGGCTTCAGGAAATTAAATTTGAGGAAATTTGGAGGAAATATAATAATGTTCATTTCCCCGAAACACCTTTCTGTTTAAATTTATTTGAGTCTTTAATATTCTTGTTTTTATTTACTTAAAAAAAAACACATGTTCTTTGTTTAACTACAACATCGTCCAAAAAAAAAAAAGATTCACTCTTACTAAAGAGGACTGTGTGATTGTTGTTGTGAAACCAAAAAAAAATCCAAAAAAGGACACTAGTACCTTTAAAACTAACTGCCATGCCTTTCATAACTTCCCTGCCACCTACAGAGAAGTTGCGTCTCAGCTATTTCAGGGTTTTGGTTTAATTTATAGGTGATATAGATGTTGCAGATTCAACCCTAGAATAAAAGACGAAATCCTGAAGTAATAAAAAAGCCTCAGCGTTTCACTCTTGTCCTGCATGCTGGTTATTAGTGCAAACTGTTTTTATTAGGCCAAATTTTACAGATTTTAGACAAAGAAAGTGATTTTGTATATAAAATATCACTATTTTAAGCTCAGATTTGGTCATGTTTTTTTCAGATAGAAGCCTTCGTTGCACATGATGTGTCCAAATCTGTGGTTAAATAAATACAAAATACACCCATTTAAAGTTAAATGTCCCTGTATTTAACCAAACAAAAACTCTAAGTTTAAGCCAAACTATAAGTGCTCAAAAAATTGTTTGACAAATTATTTGCTGCCCTTTTTGCACCATCCACTTCCCCCTTATAAGTTACGAACATTCCCTCACTCATTTTCATGATATAAAAATGAAATTTCTAACTATTGAAAATATTAGTGCATTATAATTAAAAGGACCTAAAGATTAATTTGTGGGTAAACAGGCCTACTTTATCACATTTTTTCTTCTACTGTTCAAAACTTAACTTCCAGACTTTACATTCATTCTTTAATATTAAAAAGAGATGCCTAACTATCTACACAACTACATTTCTATATTTGTTTTTACTTATGTTTACTGTGCTTGTTGTTTTTCATGCCCATACCAGCCGCTGTAGTGATGATGATGAATTGTTTTGTTTTGGTCAATAAAGTTTTGAAGACAAAAAAAGGAGGCTGAGTGACAAGGATTGTAGTTAGCTATCATAAGCAGTTTCTCAACAGAGGTAACAACACTAACAGCGAGTAGTATTTATATTTAACAACTACATATATCTTATCGTTTATTTTCCTGCCAACACACCGATCAGGTGAGAAGCTACTCTCGTGCTAACACAACATTATCATGCTAAGTTAGCTTGTTGTGAACTTCCGAGCAGCTAGCTGTTGTTAGCCACCATTAGCCGGCGGCCAGTTAAGCTAGCTCTCCATTGTTACAAAAACAAGTTGATTTAATAGCGAAAGAAAAGCTGACAGCAAACCGGCTGGCAGTACAGGGGTTTATTAAAATTAATGTACACGGCATTTACAGCTTCTTTTGTTGTCGTCTGCTCCTGTGTGTTGTAAGTAAACTTTATCTGTCAGGGACATTAACAAGCTACAGTAACGTTACTGTGTGCTCCTGGGAGGAAGAAGCCTCAGTTGGCATCTGTGTATGCGACTTATTTGAGCTTCAACCAGCCTGATCAACTGATTTAATCAAAGCTGGCATGACATATTCATCACAGTTAAGGATTTAGCTATGATAACATGAATGATGTAATGGCTTAGGGACTAGTTAGATGATGCAACCTGCAGCTATAAATCCATTCAGGGACTGTGAAGTGACAGATCAGCTAATGTCATTCCTTTTCCAGTTGTGCATGTACATAGTGCTCAGTAAAGTGGTTTTATAATCAGACATACAGAGATACAGTGTTTACTTCAGCAGCAGCATCATAGAGGAGCATCTCAGTTGCAGAACATGAACTTTCTTAGTACTCTGTCTGCACATTAAATTATCAAAACACAACAGCAACCATGTTTGATGTGGTTTAGGTGTTCTAATTAATAGTATATGACATGCATTATATACTTGTCTTGATAGTACTCCTCATACTGTGCCACTTTATACTAACTATAGGAAACTATACAATTTGTACACAATCAGATGTCAAACTGCATTTTTGGCATCATCACACTGTAAAATTAACTTCACAGAGAAAGCAAGATGTCTTTGCGAGCATGTAATATGGTTGTTTTGTGTTCCAGGGTCTCTCTGGAGCTCTCCTCCTGATGTAAGAAAGCAAAGGATTTGACCTCCTTGATATCTCTCTGGGAAGCTTCCTAATAAGGTATTTGTATGAGACAGCCGTTTAGGTGCACCACGTGACTGCAGTTGACCTCCCTAAACAAGTGGGGGAGCTGTTTTACAGTGGCTGTGCAGGCTCTGGACATGGCAAGAGACCAGTGACAGCAGCACCTCAGACAGTTTAGGTTTGCTTAGTCATTCCGATTGTTTGGTAGTCCTGAGCCAAGGACTGTCAGGACTGTCTTCTTATGAGAAGGCTGTTATGTCACTATGTCAGTGTTTAATCACTTCTACCATAAATGATAAAAGATTATTGTTACATCAATTCCACATGTTAAGATAAGATAAGATAAGATAAGATCTGACTATTAAATACTCATCACTGTGATGTCATTTAGTCTTTTTCTTTTTCTTTCTGAGCTCTGAAATATGTGCTTGTTAATTTAGACAATCTTTCCCATCATGCACCTCAACAGGACAGCTTGTGGTGTAAGATGAATATTAATCTTTCATGTTATTTTTGACCCCCATCACTCCTTTTGCATTGTTATCAGATCTAGTTTTTGGTTGGGCGAGCCTTGAGAAGTTTTGGAGCTTTCTTCCTGTTTGTGAAAAAAGATATACAGCTTTGGGGCAATAATCTCACCAAGCACAGTGATATCTGGTGGTGTGCATAAATTACAGCGGCCATTTACAACCTGGCCAATGCTGTAATTTCAGAGTTTAAATCCTGTACTTGCTAGGCCTGGGCCAAAACATTTGATTATTGGGATATTCATTCTTTAGGTAGGTATTCAGTTTGCAGTTTTTCTGTTTGTAGAGCTGCAGAAAGTAAGTTGATTCAGTCAGCCCCTGCCTCGCTCTTCCTCTCAGTCTCTCTGTTTATCAGCTCCGCTATGCGCCCAGGACAGTTGGTGAGAGTCTGCCCGTAAACACACAGTGACAGGGCTAACTGTCATCATCACACAGCTAAACATTACCAAACAGTTAATAACGGGTTCAACAGTAGAGTTAAGGCATCTCGGTGATGATGTGAGTTTGTTAGGACCGTTTAAGGCTTAGTGTTGGATGTTAGCTGCTGCTGCTGCTGCTGCTGCTGCTGCTGCTGTGTTAGTTTGTGCTTACTGGACATATGCTTAAATGACTATTCACTGGGAGGAGAGCAGCTTTGGAGATGGTCCTTCAGTGCTGCGTCTGACCTGTGTAACAGAAATACTGAATTTTATAAATATAAATCGCAAATCTTTGAATCGACAAAGCTTTGAATATTCTCTGTTACCACTACTGCTACGTGTAAAGCTCCAGAGACACAAGTAAAGGTATTCGAGACAGCCTTAGTGTGTGCGCATCAAAAGTCTAAGAACACTTCTCATTTTTGTTTTGTCTTGTCTTATCTCATCTTCATTACTCTGATATTATTTGCTCTTTCTGCTTATTTGACAGGTCAGTTGATTTTCTCACAAGTCACTCTCAGAAGCTCTCCACCCTCGAGGTCTGAAGATGGAGGAGGACCATGCTCACTGTGTGTCCTGTGTTAATCAGAGATGCACGGTCAGACCGCAGCCAGGCATTTCCTGTGATCTTATCAACTGTCCTCTGGTGTGTGGGGCTGTATTTCACTCCTGCAAAACTGATGAGCACCACCTTATGTGCCCACTGTTGAGGGTCCCATGTTTAAACAGTGGCTACGGCTGCCCCGCCACCCTGGTGCGCAACCAGATGTACGCACACCTTGAAGTGTGTCCAGCTGGAGTTGTGTGCTGCACTATGGAGTGGAACAGATGGCCCGTTAGCTGCCTGGACTATACCTCCTATGAGAGCCTGAGCCGTGGGGTGGAGGAGGTGGAGCAGCTGGACATGGCACTTGCTCTTCAGGACCAGCGTACACTACTTGAGTCCCTCAAGGTGATCGCCATGGCACCAACTGCAGAAGGAGAGCCACTTCTTCCTGTCAGTAAGGCAAACAGCTTAACAGACTCTGCTTTGCTTACACCTGCCCCAGAGGCCTCCACCGTTATTGAGTCACCTTCACAGTCATCACCCTCATGTCAGCCACAACCTCCCCCACAAGCCTCGACGAATGAGAGAATAGTCTCTGGAATTAATGGCTTGAAAGAGGAGCACTTCGGTAAACTCTATGAGGCCACAGTGGAGACTGCAAGAAGCTTAGCTGCTGCTTTGGACTTTGTTAGCAGCGCTAACTCTGATAACAGCAGCACAGACTGTGTGAACGGAGGAGCTGCTATGAAGAGGAGTAGATTGAGCAGCGATGGAGATATTAAGAATGGACTGGAAGACAAAACACCTGCTGATGGTTTGAATAAAAAAGAGATTGAGGAGCAAAGTGTTTGTTCTAGCTGTTTGAGAGAGAAAGAAACAGATCCAAAGATTTTAAACACAATCAATGGACCACTGTCAGGAGAAGTGGTGGCCTGTCTGGAGACAGCCTGTCCTGCTGAGGTGAAAGATGACATGAGTGCTGTGGTTTCTCAGGAGCCAGACACCCCTCCAATGGCATCTCCAGTTCATGTCAGCCAGGGTGTGGCACAGAGGGCTGGTCATGTGGTCCTGGAAGACAGGGGGCTAGTTCTTCTAGAAAACCACGGGCCTGAGCGAAAGTTCCACAACCACCAGTTTTTCAGGGGCCAATGTTCATTACCTAATGGACGGATAGGTTTCATCCCAGGCAGGTCACTGTATAGACTACGACCCAAAATGGAGGACAAGTCAGTAGATACCTCGGACCTGGAGCAGGATGACGACCCCATGGGACTGGGAGAAATTGATCTGATCACAGCAGCGCTGCTCTTCTGCTTAGAGGAGTCCAGAGAGTGTAGAAGAATCTCTGACACGGTCTATGTCGATGGCTACCGTGTCGACTTTGGCACACAGACTTTCACGTTCCCCGCAGCAATCTTGGTAACCAACACAAGAGTGGGTGACATTGCCTCTGCATCTGCTTGTGACCATGCCGCCCCCCAGCTCTCCTACCCCAGCCCTTTCCGCACACTCCGCCTCGGCCTTGTCCTGGAAGCTCTGGAGGTCGAGGCAGTCCCACATAACCGCTACCTCCCTCCCAACCCCCGCTACCAGCACATGTTCCCCTTCGTCTGTGGTCAGTCATTGCGCCGAGACCAGTTTTCCTCTCACTTCACAAATGTCCATGGTGACATTCACGCTGGTCTCAATGGTTGGATGGAGCACCGCTGCCCGCTGGCATATTACGGCTGCACATTTTCACAGCGGAGGTTTTACCCATCCATCAAGGGGGCGAAAGTGGTTCATGACAGGCACCTCAGGTCCTTCGGGGTGCAGCCATGCCCAGGGGCGAAACTTCCAGGTGACTTAAAGTCTGACCAATTTAGTGGGCTTCCCATTGAGATATTGTGGCACATAGCTGGGTTCCTGGACAGTTTCAGCCTGTGCCAGCTATCACTGGTGTCACGGACTATGAGGGAGCTGTGCGCCAGTCTCCTCCAGACCAGGGGCATCGTGGAGCTGCAGTGGGAGCGAAGACCACGTCCTGGTGCCCCTGGGACTATGTCATGGCAGATCAAGAATAAAGTGAGTAAAGAAACTGAGTTGTAAAGCTGTACACCACTGAATGTCAGTGTTTAAAATGTATGTTTTAATGATGCTGGAAGGATATTTAAGGATTTGGGGCTGGTGTAACAAAAGCGGGGAGTGTAGCTTCACACAAGGATTTTATGGAAATTGCATTATCAAATAAACAGGAGCCCTTCTTAAAGTTTTGACATGCAGCGCCCTCCTTATTCCAGTATCTTTTTTATTTTCTCCTGCAGGTGTGGAGATTCAGCACTGCCTTCAGCCCCGTGTCGTCGTGGGGTTTCACTGATCTCCCCAGCATGTCGGACCATCTTAAGAAGTGCCACTTCAACGTAGTGGAGCACAAGACAGAGCCTGTACCCCTTCCTGCCATGTGCACCGCACGAGACGGACAGTCACTGCGTCGCGTGCTGCGTCACGTGAACACCTGACCAAACAAGGCTGACCTCTCGTAGCTATACGAGAGTCACTGTGGCGTCACGTGGATGTTGCAACTACAAAGTGTCTGTCTTGAAAATAAATAACTCTTCCTGTATTACACTAGATGATCAAGAAGCCTTAATGAAATAACTCCTTACCTGCCACATTAAGGTCTGTTGTCGTGAGTGTCTCTATGTGGAGAAAAAGAAACATTAAGCATTTAGCTTTGCATGGATTTGTGCTGAAAGTGCATCCTTATTCTGGTAAGATAAATATATTTTCTTGAAGACAAATATGCACAATAGGTTTATATTATTATATATATATATTATACTGATAAATGTTTTCACTATTATGCCTTTCACTAGTAGCCATGGGGGAAAAGCAGATTGTTGGTTATAATGCATTATTTCTGTGTGACAGAAGTTTTGCCGGCACTTTACACAAGATTTGCTAATCCCTCCTACAGAGTGTTGATCTGTGACCCTAAATGATCAAGTCTTTACGATCTCTAAAGCGGGTGTCAACCCGGTGCAAGTCTGTTGTCTGGGTTTGCAGGATGTCAGGACGAGTCAAACAGATTGACGTATTATGAGGATAGTCCGATAATGCATGTAATTTGCTACCATTTAATAAAGTCTTTTCAGCCTTTTATGTATTTGTTTGCCTTTAAAGCTCTGCTGAGGTATTCTATATGAAGTTTCGTAGTTGTTTTTATCCAGAGGTGTCTAGATCAAATGAAAATAACATTTAAAATGTGACTGTTTTCCTACTGAAGCAAAGCCTACTGAATAACAAAGAGGCCGTTTTATTCTGGGTTCCTGCCTCCCCCCTCAGCTTGTTACACTTTACCTGCTCTCTAGGGGAGATAGGGAGTTGTCTGATGTCACATGGACCCCGAAACATGCTGTATCGTTATGAAAAAACAACAAAAGCTCTCTGGTGCCCACTCAACTACCACTACGCTACTGACAGTCTAGGACACCAAATGTGCTAGGGGTTGCCACTGTGTTCACACATCATATTGTTGCCCCAAAGCTTGTTTAAAGTTTGCTGCTTAACATTTGTAGAAGCCTGTAGATTACCGGGAGAACATAGTGTGGTCAGACGAGACGAAAATCCCAATTTTTCTACAAACATGATGACGTCATGTTTGGAGGAGAAACGCCTTTGCATATGACCTTAAAATACCACACCCGCATTTTAGTTTGGAGTTGGTTGCATCATGGTAGGGAGCTGTTTCTCTTCTGATGGTACCAGCAGAATCCAAATGGAGCCATGTATCAGGAATTTTCGAGAAGAATCTGTTGCCATCCACCGAGATGATGGTCAACAATCCAAAGCGTAGAGCAAAAGAGACTCTCAACTGGTTCCAGAGGAAGAAAATAAAGGTGTTTGAACGACCCAGTCAGTCATCAGACCTACACCTGATAAAACGTTTGTGGAAGAACTTGAATTTGAGAACTTTCCTAAATCACTCCTAAGCTAGGACTCTGTTCTAAATTTATTTAGGCTAAGTTTGGAGCTGTCCGAGAGTATTTTTAAAATGTTTGTGAATATGGCCACAGAATGATCAAATTAAACACTTGCTCTTGATAGGGCCAATTGTGTCTTTGCATCAACCACCATAGTTCTCCTGCAGGCTTGGCACATGGAAGAAGTTTCAGCTCTGCAACCTCACCACTAGATGCCACTAAATCCTACACACTGGACCTTTCAGAAAGCATCATATGCAATAAAGATACAGAAAAAACATGATATAAGCTATCTGATGAAGACAGTGAACATAATATTTTCAAAAACAACAAAAACATATTATACTCATGGGTTAATAAGAGACCGTTTACCAACTTCATAGTGGCCCAGATCCAGTTATGCAGATTAGAATGCAACTATGTAAATTATAACCACTCCAGGAGGATCTAACTCCATCAGCCTTGAACCATAAAAAATACCATCACATTGTCAGTGAGTAAGTCTCTAAAAAAAAGCTGAAGGTCTAACAAAGGTCTAACATTCACTGGCCACAAGCACTACAGTTTCTCCTGTTTCTTCATGGAAAGGGATGAGGAGATGCGTATGTATGATGTTAATTATCCAGGACCTACAAGAACACCAGTTTATTGAAACTAAAGACTGAGTCAGTCTGAGTTTATCCACCACTTTAAATTAACACGACTTGACACAGATTACTCAACAAATTTGCAGAGTTGGCACAGAAACTAACTGCTACAAGCCTACAGTTTATCCTGATAATCTAAATCTTTTATATCAAAATCAATTTGTTTTTACTCTTTCTAAAAACAGCAGTTCCCAGGAAAAAGGTCAATTTAAAACAAAAAAACTCAGACAGCACATTGAACAAATCCACTGTTCTTCCTCCAGACTAACATACCGTCCAGTTTTAGTATCAAGTTGTAAAAGTAAAAGGTATTTGCCTCTGATATAAATTCTATACATTATTCTCAGCACCATATTCCTGTATTATCATCCTTAATTTACCAGCCAACTGTTGCAATGTGAACTAATATAGATTATCTGAACAGACGAAGTTGATCTTTTAATTTAAAAAACATGGATGTTTCACATACATCTTCCCCCCGGCAGCACAGAAGATCTTTACAATCAGCACAGTTTCAAGATTAGAGTCACCAATTCAGTATTCGACCAAATGTCTCAGTGAATTTGCCATCACTTCACAGTTTTATTCTATTGAATAAATATGAAATTTTGTTGTAATTAGTCTATTAATTCTGGCAAAAACATGTTTTGTGAGGTCACAGTGACCTTGATATACAACCACCAAATTCTAATTAGTTCATCGTTAAGTCCAAGTCAACAGCTGTGCCAAATTTAAATGAAAAAACAAATGAAATAAAATAAAAATTAGAATTAGAATTAATTAATTAAAATAAATTCAATTGAAATAAAATAGATTAAATTAAAATTAAAATGTGATCATTTGACTGTCACTCAATCCATCATCATCATAACTTTTTCAAATTGTAGTGTGGGTATTAAAACAAATCTTGAATCTTAAATATTTGGGGGACTGAGACAAGATCTTTTGGAACATTGATAAATGGCACTTATTCTTAATTGTGATGATAAAAGCAAAAATACATCATTACTGTTTTGACACATTAAGGCCAAAATCTTACCCTGGTTCCCCAGATGGACCTGAGGTCTGAGTACTCATGTCATCAGGGAATGTGCAACACCTGTGATTTCTGTTCAGCTGCGCATGTGTTGTTGAGATTCATGCTGCACAGTGGTTCAGATTAAAGGTGTGCTCTCTGCATGGAGCTTCAGCTGTTCACCAAAAGTAGAAACTTGTGTTTCATGTTTGTGCATGTTTGATGTCATAATATGTGACTGCTTCAGGGTGGAACAAACCTATTTACTGTGTGTAATCAGTGTTTTCTTTGCAGTTGTTGTAGCTGGCCAGGCACTATGGCAGAGTACACTCTGGAAGTGACTACAGGAAGCATGTTGTATGCAGGCACCTTTGATAACTTGTATGTTACCCTGATCGGCACAGAGAGGCAATCTGAGCACACCCAGCTGACTAGTTTTGGACTGGATGATAAAACTGGTAAGGTAAGCTGTAAAATAACTCTAATTGTTCTTATTTGTGTTTAGTGTGTTATCTTAATTGTGGGCTATTTGAATTAACACTTGATTTTTTGAGTGAGCCCTGGAAAAAATTAGCTGCTTGTTTTTTTCTCTCCTGTAAACGTCAATCATTCATTGGCTATTTTTTATTTTGGCCGCTTGATAGAAATTAGTTTGCTTTTGGAAGAAGCTTAAAGGAGCAGTGTGTGGGATTTAGTGGCATATAGTAGGGAGGACTGCAGACTGAGAGGCCGTTTACACATACACGGTGATTTTGATAAACGGAGACATCTTCCTTCGTTTACACACAAACGGAGATTTCTCCTCTGAAAACGAGTCTTTCTAAAAACTCCGGCCAGAGTGGAGATTTTGGAAAACTCTGGTTGCGCGTTTGCATGTAAACTGAGATAAACGGAGTTATAGGCAGTTGACATCACAGTATGTGCCGGAACTTGCGCCTGTGTCAAAAGTGCGACCTATGTTGCTATGGTGACAATGGATACATGGAAGGCGTGAGCTTCTCGTTACACTGCCACCTACAGGTTTGGCATGCTCTTGTGTGTGTATATACACGGGTAAGTGTAAACGAAGATCTTTTTGAAAACGGAGACGGTGAAATGTACGTTTACGAAAATAGCCGGCCACGTGTAAACAGCCTCTGAATCCAGCTGAAACTTCTCTTGGTTAGGATTCTTTAAGTGTTCATTGTTCAGGAGGTTTTCACTTCGAGCTGAATTATCCTCAGAGGTCTCTTCCTCTCCACAATAAATGGACCTACTGTTTTAAAACATTAAATTAAGCAGTTTCACATCGAAAAAATTGTTTTTGCAAAAATGTTCGGCTCATTGTGGAGGGGTGCAAGCATGAATGGCCCTATCTAAGACCAGTATTTGGTTTGTTCATTCTGGGCTACTGTAGAAACATGGCGGACTCATAAATGAGGGGACAAGAACCTGTTCCCTATGCAGATTTAAAGGCTCAGTCTAAAATAACGAAACACAATTCTTATTTTTAGGTGATTATACGCAAAAGGAAACATACTTTATATCCAATTTCTGCCAATATATCCCCCTAAATCCTACTCACAGGACCTTAAATATATATGCCCATATATTAACATTAAGCCACTTGGTCTGTGTTAATATTCCTGACTGCATCATCCTCTCCACCCACAGGCAGGAACGTTTTCTGTGACAACACTCTTTTCTTTAGGATTTCTTCTCCTCCTCAAGTTGGAGAAAGATCCTTTCCATGAATCTCCAGAAAAGGACTGGTTTTGCTCCACAGTAGTGGTGAAGACACCTGAGGAGGATGAAATTCTTTTCCCCTGTCACAGGTGGCTGTCCAGAGGGGAATCTGTGTTGTTGAGAGGGGGGAGAGGTTCGTTTTCCCACTTGTGTGGAGCTGCGTCTTGTACATTTAAAGCCTTCATTGTGTCACAGTGGCTATGTGACATTGATCATATTCGTATGAGATGTTAATTGAATTTGTTTATTAAAGTATATTTAAACCCACCTTGGGCTGTAATCTACACAGCTACAAAAGCATTTGAAGATCTTCATCCTCGACTGGTAGACGAACGGAAAAAAGAACTGGTCCAACAAAAATTAATGTACAAGTGAGTGTTCCCTCACTTTCCATCAATATCCATTCATGGTTTAACAAGGTCTATCTCAATCAGCGCTGACTGGGATTCATAACTTCTGGTTGTCTTTATTTCCTGTTTGCTTCTGCAGATGGCAGGAGTATGCAGAGGGACTGTCGTACATCTTAAACATCAATGATCCAAAAGCTGTCCCTGCAGATGTACGCTTCTCATTCTCTAAAGCCTTTCAATTTAGATCCAACACGGAAGTGGCATAAGTGCTACAATCTATTATTGTAAAAATGAATCCAGGACACAAATAACTACTGCAATAAACAAAAATGAAATACTTTTTGACCCTTAATCCAGAGCTTGAACTGAGAGGTCTGAAAGATTCTGCGGAGCACTTTGAAAGCTTTGAGGCCATGAAGGAGGTCTCATGGTTCAAAAAGGCCCCCTTCTTAGGTATAGGATTTAAAAGTGTGTGTGTGTGTGTGTGTGTGTGTGTGTGTGTGTGTGTGTGTGTGTGTGTGTGTGTGTGTGTGTGTTTTCTCTCTAAAAACAGATAATTTATGTTTCAGAGTATGTGTCGGAGCATTGGAAAGACGATGACTTTTTTGGATACCAGCTGCTCAATGGATTCAACTTCTTTCTGATCCAACGATGCTCAAAGCTGCCCTCCAACTTTCCTGTCACAGAGGAAATGGTGAAACCTTTCCTGGCCAATGGAAGCTCTTTGACTGAGGAGATGCAGGTACAACAAAGTGCATTTAATGTGATTTACTTCAGATGTTTTAAAGGGACAGTTCACCCCGAAATCATAAATACATATCTTCTCTTACTTGTAGTGCTATTTACTAATCTAGACTGTTTTAGTGTGGGTTGTCGAGTGTTGGAGATATCAGCCGCAGAGATGTCTGCCTTCTCTGAAATATAATGGAACTAGATGGCACTCAGCTTGTGGTGCTTAAAGCGCCAAAAAATTCATTTAAAAAACCTCAACAGCAATGTCTCTTTCCAGAAATCATGACCCAGTTACTCAAAATAATCCACAGACGTTGTTGCAAGGAGTTGCATGTAGGAACTATTATCTGCCACCTGTCAACAGTATCACTGCTCAGGAGGAAGTGTCCATCTACTCATGGACGCTTGGAGGCTTGCGATGGCGATAGCACAAGATGTAAACATTAATGGCATCCTCCTTGGCCGAGCTGGAACATTAGCTAGCTCATTGGTGCTAGGTGAGCTAGCAGTAGATGCACACTTCCATGTTTGTGGTGATAAGCTTGGAGGATGTAGTTCAGAAAGAAAATAGTTCATACAGAAACTGCTCAAAACAAAATCTGTGGATTATCTCAAGTAACCAGCTCATGATTTCTGGAAAGAGACATTGCTGTTGACTTTTTCAAATATATTTTTTGGCGCTTTGAGCACCACAAGCTGAGTGCCATCTAGTTCCATAATATTCAAGAGAAGGCAGACATCTCTACGGCTGATATCTCCAACACTCAGCAACTACCACCAAAACAGTCTAGACTCTTAAGTAGCACTACAGCTAAGATAACATACTGTATGTGTTTATGATTTTGGGGTAAACTGTTCCCTAACCACTCATCCGTTTTAATGCCTCACATTAGCAATTTCTTTCCAACAGAAGGGCAATATATTCATTAATGATTACAAGATCATGGAAGGTCTGCCTACAAAAGTTATCAATGGTAAACCAATACCTGTGACTGCTGCTATCTGCCTGCTGTACCTAAATCCAGAGGGGAAACTACTGCCAATCGCAATTCAGGTTTCTCTTATATCTAGTACATTACTTTGCTTTGTACATTTTTGTTTTTGATCACATTATGTAAACTTAAATTTGCCTCCTTTCTCAGCTCGGTCAGCATCCCTCAGAGGAGACCCCAATTTTTCTGCCGAGTGACTTGGAGTCTGACTGGCTGCTGGCTAAGATATTTGTAAAGAATGCAAATGTCCTGTATTTCCAAGTAATCAACCATTTGCAGAACACTCATCTACTGGCAGAGGTTTTTACAATGGCGACACTTCGCAACCTCCCAATGATTCACCCCCTGCACACGGTAGGCTATTATTTTCATTCTTTTTATTTTTGTATTGGAGTGCAGTGTTGTGGACAAAGATGAGGATTGTGTAGATGTTTTTTTTAACTCAGTTTGGGCCTCATTTACCCACTGACTGAGATTTTACCCACTGTCCTCGTTAAGTTGAAAGTGCGTGCCAGCTGCATAGCATAGGTAAACACCCCAAAAAATCCCCATAATAGGGCATGAGACTGGAGAGCCATGTGCACACAGAAACCAAGGTAGAAAAAGAAAATTTGAAAGAATATATGCCCAGTCGAAAGTCTAAAGAGCGTCGCTTTCCTGGCTCCAAACATTTAAAGAAGGAGAAAAAAAAAAGGTAGTAGGTACTTCTGCAGGAAGTGACCGTTTGTCTGGTTTGTCATATTTAGTAGCGTCAGGAGTGGGTATAAAATAACTCAAGATACATGGGATGCTAATAAAATACACATTTATCAACCACCTGACTGACCCACACACCGCAAATTTTATGCATTACAGTAGCACAGTTGTCGGGACTGAGGACAGAGACCAGTAGCCAGGTAAGATAATCCTGATAACGTGAGCTCAACATTCTGTTGCACTCTCTGCTTCGGTCTGGCCACCCCAAACACTTTCCAGAGATTAATCAGGGATCCACACTGTCATTGCAGCTTACAGTATAGTACTGGCAGCTCCCAAAGCAACAAGCGCTAACTCTGCCCTCAGAAAACACATTGAGTGAAATTATTGCAGAAATGGAGTCAATGATAACAATTAAACAAGACAACACTATCACTAATTATTAGATGGCATGGGTCCTATTGACATAACTGATGTCAACTTAAGTGTTAGTGTTTATTTTAAAAGACCATGAGGGTTTTTGTAAAATAGTCAAATGATTATTACAAATGTTATGCATAATAAAATATTACCCTTTAACATTATACAACTGTAGAATTAAAGAAAACGCAATACCCAATTATTCTGCACAAACATGTCGGCACAAATTGTGCGTTGATTCTGATCTTACCTAAGAACAAATCCCACATGAGAAAACATTGGTGAATGTCAGAATCTTTGTGAAAACTGTAAGTGGGTTTTAAGAAGAACTTTTTTTAAGACTGGTTGTAGAATGAGGTCCAATGTTCTCACTTAGATCATGACCCTCCTTCTGTTCTTCACAGCTGCTGATCCCCCACCATCGATATACCCTCCATATAAACATCATTGCTCGTGCTCTTCTCTATGGCCCTGGTAGAATTCTTGGAAATGTATGACTATGTTTCAAATATCTTTTTAAATAAATGAATTTACAATATGATATTTACTTATATTTATACAAACCAAAATCAAGTCAAACTAAGCCTGTTGACTAAATTTCCAGATTTCAATTGGAGCAGACGGAGTAACAGAACTAATGAGGAGGGGGCTCTCCCAAATGACCTACACCTCCCTCTGCCTGCCTGACAACATTGCAGCGAGAGGAGTGGAGTCCATCCCAGGCTTTTATTACAGAGACGATGCACTGAAGCTGTGGAGCATCATCAACAGGTGAACTTCTGCCTGCTCAGTAAAAACATGGCACATTAGATAAATGAATTGGTGAAGAAATGTTAAAACTAGATAAGCATTAAAGAGATACTATGCCAATTTTTAAGTCAACTTTGTATCATAACAGTGTGGGTAGTATGTGTAAATGAAATGAGGTAAACCTCCCTCCATTTTACCAGGGCTCAGATCTCCCTCCTCATCTCCAAACTCAAATTTCCGCTAGCTTGGGGGCTGTTGCTCGAACTACAGATTGTACTTCAGCAATAGGACACAGTGGATTGAGAGAGCCTCTCTCAAACTCAGACCAGACAGTAAAACTAGGCAGTCCTGATCAAATATAAACCAAGATTCTGATACTGCATTGCCTATTTCTCACCTAAAATGAATCAGAAACATTTTAGTGCACTGTTTAGCTGTATTGAAAAGTTTGTGAATGGAATGTGGCCGCCATTCTGCTTCCTGTATAATAAAAATGGAGGCTATAAAAACTGAGATCAAACATTAAAGCTAAGCTGTACTGATCAAATCACTGTTTAAATGTAATACAAGATAATCTGTTACCAGCTGGCTGCCATTTTGTTTTCAGATGGGCAACTCGCATTATGTCACCCACCAGCAGGAGCATTTATTGGTCTGGTACGACGCAGTGCATTGTGGTAGTTGTAGGTTTTCTACCTCTTGAGTAAAAGCTAATGCCACACCCCTTTTTCTGTTTTCTCTGCTCGTGTAACACCAATTTCAAAAGTATTTGCCTTTTTATTTATTGATTGTCTAATTCACTTATCGTCCTCAGCTTTGTCAAAGCAATGGTGGCATATTATTATCCATCTGACAGTGAAGTGTCTGCAGATTCTGAGCTCCAGGGATGGATCAAAGAGATCTTCCACTATGGATTTCTGGGAAATGGTGACTCAGGTATTTGGCTTTTACATTCTCCTCCTCTAAGATGCTTGCATAACTCTTTGGCACTTATTCTAAGAGGCAGACTGTATATCATCCTTTTTATTCAAACTCGGCCATAAAATTATTTTCATTTATGAGGAGAGTGGATAGATTAAAGATATTTAAGGACCGTCGTGTGCTTTACATGTCTTACCCTTAGACCTACACGAGACTCAACAGGTTAAAAACTTTCTTTAAATGGGTAATCTGTCATTTCAAAGGTGTTAAAATATCAGATTATATTCAGATGAATGGACAGCAGTATGTAAAATGAGGATAAAGAATTAGGAAATGCAGATATTGTCCTCACATTTTCAGATAAAAATTGCACACAAGTGGGATGAAATGTTTTGTTAGGAACTTTCTTGATGTTGTAGTCAATTTTATCTCAACGTTATGTTTCGTGACAGGAATCCCTTCAAGGTTTCAAACTGTGGCGGAGCTTATCAAGTTTGTCACTACGGTGATCTTCGTGTCATCAGTTCAGCATGCGGCAGTCAACGGAGGACAGGTAAAGATTTTTTTATGCTAAGAACAGTGTTGAGGTGTAGTGAACTACATGTATTTGATTGATTTGAACTAAATTGATGTTTCCGTAGTAGTAGTAGTAGTAGTAGTAGTAGTAGTAGTAGTAGTAGTAGTAGTAGTAGTAGTAGTAGTATATTGAAACTACAAATGATTCTGGGACATCAAAGGAAAGTATTAACTTTTTATCTATTTACCTTGTTTTACCATTGCTTCTCCACTGTAACTGAACCCCCTTTAACCACAAGTGATTACTGCTAACAAATGTTCAGAGAGGTTGTTGCATAGAAGTGGCTAACTGAGTGATCCTGCTCAGGGCTGTACGCCCACCTGGACACTAGCCTCTGGAAGGCAGATGTCTGACTGATGGACATTTATATCCAAAACCAGTGCTGACATGCCTTGCACTTTCCAATGAACAGTGGCATTTCATCTGCTTTTATTTTCTTCTTCATATGAGACAATAGGATATTTAAATGTTACGTTATGTGTTATTAGTATGTCAACATGTGCAGGCATTTCAAGTTCTTGGGACTGATCAGTTAGTCAGACCTGCTGAAAGTTGTTCTTTTCCTGCAGGAGCAGTTAAACCATGATCTTTTTAATTATGGGACCTATTCCTTTGAATTACGAGATAAGGTGTTTATTTTTTTTTCTTTTGTGAATGCAATGTGCGTCTGTACTTTAAAGCTCACTGATTAGAATGATATACATCCTTAGTATAAAAACCACAGCGTAAAAATAACAGTGTTCAGGGTGATTAAACTGGCTGGCAAGAGGCTCCATCTACCACTAGAGGGCAGTAAGGCCCTACTTGGCAACATGTTACAGCAACAAGCAGGGTGAGGCATTACGATTGGAAGTTCAATGATTACGTTAGTTTATAATCCAAGTTATCTCCACTGTCTTACTGAGAGTACGAGGGTTGATATCATGTAATCAAGACTCCATAAGTTGTCTTGATCACATGTTGTGTGTTCCTAACTGTCTTTTAATTAAGAGTTACTGGTGAGCCCTCATACAAATGGGCTGGTGTGTTTAGCTGGATGGTGTTTCAGGACAGGACTGCTGCAGTGGTGTGTGTGTGTGTGTGTGTGTAGTGTCAGGGGCTTTGGATAAGCCAAGCGTTGATGGTTAGTAGATACTTTATTACTTTTAAAAGTAATGTCACAATTGCATTTTTACAAGTGACTTGCCTAACCTGCCAGCTAGAACTCCATGTGAGATCATTCATCTGATCTACTTCTCTGCAAGAAAATGAATTAGATTTAGTGGATTCGAATCATTTTCAAATTAAAATCATTCCTGTAATTGTTCTGCTCAAGGTCAAAAGTCTTGTGCTAATGGCTGCTGTATGTCCTCCTATAGTTCGATTTTCAAGGTTGGATTCCCAATGCTCCGTTTGGTCTGCACCAAGCTCCGCCCACCACAAAGGGCCAGTCAAGCATAGAGGCCATCTTGGCGACCCTGCCAAATAAATCACATGCAGGACATAGCATGTCAATTTTGTGGCAGCTCAGCGAGAAATACAGTGATTTTGTAAGTTTGATGTACAGGTGCTGGACGACCAATTCTGCCTTTCATAGACTGCCCATCCCCTAACAAGACATGCTGGTTTTATCTTTGGCAGGTACCTCTGGGTATTTATCCCAAGCAACGCTTTGATGAGGCTGCAGCCTTACAGATGATCAAGGATTTTCAAGCGGAGCTGTCCTCCCTCAGTGTGGCTATTACCAAGAGGAACTCAGAACTTGAACTGCCTTATAATTACCTGAACCCTAAAGAAATAGAAAACAGTGTAACTATTTGACCAAGCTCTAACAGCTGTGCTGTCCAATGTACATTACCATTACTACAAATATTGTGTATCTGCTGAGTCAGTGATTTCTGTACTTTAACTGACACTAAAAGCTAAGATTGACAGTTATATCAATGATGTACTTTGTTCCATTAAATATGTGTTATGTTCTATATATACTACGACTGGTCAAAAGTACAATAGCGGTAATCTGTGGTAAACAACAGCCTAACCAAGGTGGTGAACATGGTATACACAGGCATGCAGATATTTATATTGTGAGCTGTTAGCGTAATGATGGCAGCGTTTACTTTAATGTATCACTATGCCTAAGTACATTATGACAGGGCAGCTAGTGTGGCTGTGGACTCTGTGGATGCTTCTTTGTGTCGAACTGCATTTGATGAACAGATGGCGTTAAATATAATTTTCTACAGTGAACCTTTTTGCGGAAGATCAAACCTCTCTCCAGAAAAGTGGTTCAGGACACAGAACATTTTCTCAATTGAGAAAATGTGTGGAGTGATTTTTGTGCCGTACCAGCTCACTAAAGTTTCCTGTTAATTTGCAGTGGTGGTTAATTCAGACTAAATCCATCCTTTGTTTGAAAGAACTGATATTCTTTACAGTCCAGAATACTGCTTCATACTTTGTATCTTTGTCCTTTTCTGGGAAGAAACTGGCAGATGTATTTTATTTTTGCCTTTAAGGCTTTATATAAGTGGTGGAACTTCACTGAGAGCTATGTGTGTCTGGTATGGTGACAGGGCCCATGACAAACCTGTCTCATTAAAATTGGAGCAGTTATAATTTACATATTTGAATTCAAATGTGCAAAATGTTTGCATTGCTGGATCTGAGCGATCATAAACTTCCAGTCAAAGTCATAGTTCAAATAGTATCAATCAATAGCTTTGAATTAGAAGGCTGTATCTTTATGTAAAAACCTCTCTTAATGAATGGTGTGTGTGCGTTGGTGTGTGATTACTGAACGTCAAGAGTAACCATTTGTCTGTAGCTGCCTGTTAGATCATAGTACGTTAGTAACTTTATAGTCCGGAGGTTATGATTTGCATGTGGATTTGCGAATGTATGTATATTGTTTCCAGTGAAGAAAAAGGACTTAAATTAACCTTCTCTAGTAGTTTAAATTTTTATAAATCATAACCAAATGATCTGCGATAGTTCCACCTAAAGTGGGAGGACCATATGAGATGTGGAGATGTATAAAACACAGCACAACTGAGAAAAGCAGGAGCCAAATAACTACAGCCCAAAGGTAAGTGATACAGGTATTTTGCTTTGACAATATTAGTGACGTTTGCCATTCATTTTAGGTATTTTGTTTCTTTATTCCAGTCCATACAGAACTGAAAAAGGAATGGCCATGGCTGAGTACAAGTTAGATGTGACAACAGGTGACATGACATATGCAGGAACGTTTGACCACATATATGTCACTTTAATTGGAACTGGAGGGAAGAGCGAGCAAACTGAGTTGGACAACTATGGTATGGATTTTAAACCTGGGATGGTAAGTTAAAACCAGCTGATTTACCATTGTCAACAACTCAGATTAGGTCGTTCAGAATGCATGCGTGTGTGTTGAGGTGGCATTCTTTAAGTCTAGATTAATAGCTTATTTTACTGCACTTATTTTACCGTACTGCAAATTTGACGAAACGGTCCATACAGAAATATTTTCTTGTCCACATCTGAGCAAACCAAGAAAATATGATGGCTTAGGCAACATGATAACTCATTGCCTACTAAGACAGGAGCCTAGATGTGAACCTTTGGCTCTGGGGGGGTTCTTGTAACAAGGTCCTGCACTTTATATGGCTGCGGGAACATGAAGGTAGTATTTCGTAACCTGAAATAAATGTCTCTGAACATCATCCAGGCATCAATTATGCTCCCGCAACAACAATCAAGCAGTTTAGTAAAATACAAACGTAATTTCTACGAGACAGGGTTGCAAGACTTTACATTTCAACAATGCTGTGGTTAAAGTAGATTTAGACACAAAAAAAACACTTGGTTACAGTTAGGAAAAGATCATGTTCTACCCGATTTGATGGCCTGGAAAAGCAGCAAAATCCCTTTAAGAGGGCTTTCACACCTGCCCTGTTTGGTTCGGTTCAACCAAACAAGTTTGTTTGTCCTCTAAGTGTGGTTCGTTTGGGCAGGTGTGAACACAGCAATCACACTTGAGTGCGCACCAAAACAACCAGACTGAGACTTTCTTGAAGAGATCCAAATGCTCGATCCAAATTACACATTGTTTGTGTTAAACATGAGCATGTTACAGTCCTGGAGGATTATTAATGTGCACCTCCTCCTGTACTGCCTTAATATGCACATTCAGCACATCCAATGCATCAAAACATTGTTTTCTAGTTGGAGCCGCGCCTCGTTTTCAAACTGTATGGTTTGACTAAAATGAACAATGACAGCAATATAGTCCACGATGAGCAGCGCTAAAATCAACCTGCGTAGTTGTCCCTCCATTGTGACATTAGAAAGTGTCACATTTATCTTGCAAGTGTACTCTTCTTCAACATTTTGTTTACTTCCTGGATTTTTCCCACATGGAAATTCTGACCAATCAGGAGCAGCTTTCTGGTGCAAGGCATTTGATCCGGTACGCTTGTAAATGCTTCCGTGAGAGCACGAACCAACTCTAGGCAATTATGCAACTTGTGACAAAATCAGTCCTTGATTCGGACCAAAGCAAGACAAGTCTAGGTCTGAAAGCACCCTAAAAAACACAACACATTTTTGTGTCACTATTGCGGCAGGAAAATTCAGCAACAGTAACACCAATTTTGATATATGTGAAAGTCTGCTCAAATACTACGTCACTTTAGAAACACTGATGCAATACGTATGAAACCTGCAAATGTAACATATTTGTAGTTTGCAGAAATGTACAATGCCAACATTTCCTTCAGGCGTCTGACCTGTTCCTTCATATGCTGTTACCATGGATGCTACCATTCAGAGATAATTAAGATGTTGCCAACAAAGCACACTTTTATTGAGAACACCAGAGTGGGAGCACTATTATAGTCTGTAAAGTCTTAGTTTTAAATTATACTGATGAATGGCTGTGACATCACGTGCTCCTAGTCAGCATCAGCAAAAATGGTTCTTTGAGCAAGTGTTTGATTTGCTTTGTCTTTCTTATTTGTTGATCTAAAAAATTTTTTTTTAAAGATATTTTTTGGGGCATTTTCGCCTTTAATCGACAGGACAGACAAGTGTGAAAGGGAGAGAGAGAGAGGGAGTGACATGCAGCAAAGGGCCACAGGCTGGAGTCAAACCCAGGCCACTGCGGCAACAGCCTTGTACATGGGGCGCCTGCTCTACCACCAAGCCACCGACGCCCATTGTTATCTACCTTGATGTCATTCATACTTTCTGCTTTGTGACAGGCATATGGTATAATGTTAATGTTTTCCAGACATCAAATTACACCGTGAAAACCAGTTCATCTCTGGAGAAACTTCTGCTGGTCAAAGTGGAGAAAGATCCTTTTTTATTTCTCCCAGAAGATGAGTGGTTCTGCTCCAAAATAGTGGTGACGACTCCAGAAGGAGAAGCCATTCTTTTCCCCTGTTACAGATGGATCTCCAGGGGAGAACTGGTGGAGCTGAGAGGAGGGAAAGGTCTGCCTCAACTTCCCCAAATAATTAGAAAATTATTGGATTCCACTCCTCAGAATAATTGTGCCAATTATCTTACTAGTTTTGTCCTTGAAATTTTCCTGCTGTTATGTTCTTTGTATGCTTCAGCCACGAAGGTTTTTGAGGACGACCATCCCCTGTTGACTGACCACAGGAAAAATGAGCTGATGCTTAAAAAGACTTTGTACCAGTAAGTTTTAATGTGTATTTCTACAGCTGCTGTTCGTCTCAGATGCCTACCAGGACGAATCTTTATGCAACTTTCTGTTTTGCTTTTCCATTTTTAGATGGGAGAATTCTGATAAAAAGCTACCACACAAGAGTCATTTCAAAGATGTATCTGAGCTCCCATCAGAAGTCTGCTTCTCTTTGTCCAAGACAATGGAAGTTCTTTATACAAAAAACGTAATGTGAGTGAGTCAGTGATTTCAATATAGTCAATGCTTTATTTATATGGAGCATTAATGTCACTTTGTTGTTTAATTATCTGCATTTTGTTTTACCCTTCCTTATCTCAGGGGTGCTGAGCTCATGTTTAAGGGGATGCTTGGATCCACTGAAATCTGGGGAAAAATTGAAGATATTAAAAACATCTTCAGGTCTACAGAGACACCAGTGTCAGGTATTGCTGTAGTTCTGCAACAAACTGTCATTCCTATAGTTTCGTAATAACATGGACTATGCATACAAGTATACATGCAAGTGCTAATAATTGTGTAAACTTAACAACGCAACCAACACCCTAAACAGAAAGAAAAAACCTTTAAATAAATATATGCTACGAGTTGAAATGGAATTAATATGTCAGTAATGGGTAATGTAATGGGCTCAACACTTTAAATAATGTTTTCAGTGGTTTAAAAAGTGTTGAGGGACAGCTATAAAAATGAAAGGTGACTGACAGAAATCACTGTGCAGAAGCTGTAACTACTGCATGGACCATGGCGTACTGCTGGCTTTAAAGCTGCGCCAGTATTGTTGTATTAACAAAGAATCAAGTGAGCACTTTCTGTAAAACAAACATGGGTAAATGAGCTGAGGCTCTTTAAACATATAAATTAATTTGGATTAGATGTCCCTGTAAAACTTGAGTTTTTCTACAAGAGCAAAAACCCTCAAACAAAAAATCTTGTCATTAGTTGAATGACTGTGAAAACTGTATCGCACTTCACACATGAAGAAAGAAATATGTTTCGGCATTAGATATTATATTTGCCAATTCTTATTCCCTCAGAGTATGTTTCAGAGCACTGGAAGGAAGACGACTTTTATGGATCCCAGTTTCTGAACGGAGTCAACCCCAATGTGATCAAGCGCTGCTCAGAGCTTCCCCCAAACTTTCCAGTCACAGAGGAGATGGTGAAGCCGTTCCTGGCAAAGGGAACCTCTCTGCAGAAGGAAATGGAGGTATGAAAGAAGAGTGGCTTTAAATGGCTCTTTATCTTTACTTTTGAATTTATTTGTAAATTTAACTTTAGAGTTAAACAGCAGTAAGTCAGCAGTAAAAAGTGCTTGAAAATTTTAGGTCTATACCATGTAATGGCTTCCCTTTGTTTTGATTTATAAAGAGGTTTTGCCTTCATTCATTATACGAAGCTGCAATACCTCTTGATGTGTGCTACACTTCTGTTCTCTATCTTCCCTCCCATATAGAAAGGCAACATATTCCTCTGTGACTACAAGGTGTTGGATGGATTACCCACTAAGGTTTATGATGGTGAATCTCTGCACGTGACTCCTGGTTTCATAATGTTCTACTTGAATCCAGAAAATAAACTGATGCCAATTGCAATACAGGTATTTAAATGACAGATCAAATCAGTTGCAGTGTTCACATTGCAGATGGAAAGTTGTAGAGTCATTGTATATTCACAGAGCATCTAGATGATACAACAGTAGCACAAAGAAACATGGCACCCTGCTATGAGAATGTCCCTCCTTCACCACAGTTGAACTGCACTTTACAATGTGAGTGTCCAGCAAAAAAAAAAACTGTTTTATTTAATTCACAAAACTTCCATCTTGTGTGTCAGCACCATTATGTACATGTCAACATGCCTTTGCATCATGTACTGCATGAGGAGAGGATAGCAAAAGAAAGGTGACTCAAGCAGCAGTTCTACAAAAAGTTTTAGGCCCGATCACACAGAAAGCGTTTTACAGGTTGCAAAATGTGAGGCACACTGCACTGCCTTTTTATTTTTTAATTAAATGCCGCTGGTAAAAGAAAAATTGTTATTGTTGCCAGGCAACCACGCCATCACCTCTGTACCTTAACCTTCCTGTGTAATCAATACCATGAAATTATTCATTGTATTTATTTCACGGTAATAAGTATCTAGTTCCTAAATTTTCAGGGAGAGGGTACTTGCTGTAGCTCTGGTTGAGGGTGAGAGGCTGTCGGTAAATAGTTTGTCGGGCACAGGGAAACAGAGATCTGTGTGGGCACATGAGAACCAAAATAAGAGATCATGGGGAGCACCACCAGTTGGTCCAGGAGCTTTGCCTTGATGATGGACATTTCCAGGCGTATTTTAGGATGACTCTGAGGCAGTTTGACAACCTGCTGTCTATCTTGGGGCCGTACAGCTCTGGGTATCCAGCAGCAACCACCAGTTTCTCCTCCATTGTTTACCAACTGTAAAATTATTGTGACCACCACAGAAGGTCTGCCTCTCAAATCCTCCAATTGGACAATGGGAAAAAAGCGGAAATGACGTGGGGTGTTTTTCCGCTTTGAGTTTAAGGTTTTTTCAACTCGAGGAGTTCAGAGTGCTCCGGCAAAAACGCCAAGCACCTAAAGCACAGAAACATGAGGCACCTTGCAACGGAAAAACAGAGCGCAAACAGCGTAAATCTCATTAAAAACAATTACGGAAGCTGCCTCCAGCTGCTAAAATGCTTTCTGTGTGATCGAGGCCTTAAGGTGTGGAACAGTCATCAGTTTGCATTTGAATTTAAAGTGCATCACTGAGATTTCAAATATTACCATTAAAGATTTTTTTTATCACATTTCAGCTGTATCAACAACCCTCTGAGCAGAACCCCATCTTTCTGCCCAGTGACCCAGAGACTGACTGGCTGCTGGCCAAGATGTTTATTAAAAATGCAGACTTGTTTCAACATCAGGCAGTCTATCACTTCACAAACTCTCATGGTTTGGCAGGAGTCTTTACTGTTGCCACTCTGCGCTGCTTCCCTGTGTTTCATCCCCTCTACAAGGTACAGTTTCACTGTTGTAATGGTGCCTGCGTCACTCACTTCAACAGAACTTTAGAAATATGTTGTCTGAAATCAGAAAGATGCATATGTTTGACTTTGAAATGATCAGGAGTGATTATAGTGTGTGCTAAAAAGCCCTTTGGATCAACCATGTTTGTGTGTAAAGTGCTATATAAATAAAGTTGACTTGACTATATCAAAAAATTTTGAGAGCAGTAAAAAGTCATTTGTTGAGAGTTTGGTTGTAGCGGACTTTGACGGTAGAAGATAGATAGTTGGGATGTACTTCCTGTTATATGCTGCCTGATTTATAGAAATGTTTACGTACTTTGACTTGGTGGTGACATTTCAACGGATAATTTGAATTTAATATTCTCCCCTTTCTTTTTGTACAGCTGCTGATCCCTCATTTCCGTTACACTCTCCAAATAAATACTATGGGACAGAAATCTATTTATGGACCTGACGGCATTTTGAGTAAAGTATGGATCTTTAAGATGTTTATATTGATAACATTACTATGAAAACCACATCAACCTTCAAAATGTCTTTATTTACTGAGACCTGTCCCTTGTTAGACTTCAGCTGGACTCCAGGGGAACATAGAGCTCGCGGAAAAGGCTCACTCTGAATTGACCTACATTTTCCTCTGTCTGCCAGAGAACATCACTGCACGAGGACTGGAGTCCATACCCAACTTCTACTACAGAGATGATGGCCTGAAGCTGTGGGACATCATCTACAGGTTAGGCAATTGCAGAGTGACGGAGTATTGAGTTTAAGCTAAATTACTGAACTGAATTTTTAAAATAATTTCACAATACTCATTTCAAATCAAATTGTTCTGTGTTCACCAGCTTTGTGAAGGCAACAGTGGAGTACTATTACCCCTCAGAAAATGACGTGCGGAATGACACTGAGCTGCAGGATTGGATCAGTGAGATATTCACACATGGCTTCTTAGGAAACACAACCTCAGGTATTTAAAACATCTATTTATCTATCTATTATATCATGGTCTGGTTGAATACTTGATTCTGATTGGCTGCAGGGTGTGTGTTAAAAACTGACAATGCACACCTACTAAGTATTTCTGGTGTAACTGTCTGTTCACCGTTCTAAATGAATGCGCTGGCTGCCTGTATCTAATATGAATAAGGGATGCAGTCAGAGTCTCTGTTTACAATTAATTTCCAACACTTAGTAAAGTCCTTCTTGCCTCAACCTCTGAACACCACCAGAGGAAGATGGTAACACACCCTGCAGGGACTTAACTGCCTCTCTGAACTTAAGCAATAATCTCACATCCTACTTCAACTCACTACTTCAGGCTGCAGCCAACAGTGACGTTAAACATGGCGTATCGATTGTTGGTAACATCTTGATATTGATTTGGGGACAATGAGATGGCTGGATAGCGAGCTAGTCTTGTTGTTCAAAAATACTGTCAAATCATATTTACTGTTTGTCAACCGTACACAGTGTAACTGACTTTAAATCTTGCTAGCATAACATTAGCTTTTTGGCTAATAGCGGTTCTCAGTAGCTGGGCTATAAAGGGTTCTGTGAGCTTTGCGGATGAGCAATACATCCTGTTGCTTAGTTGTATCTAAGGTTTGCGCTAAGAACTGGAGAAGGGAATAATGTTTCCATTGCATAAGTACCTTATGGGGGGGAGGCAGCACGGTGGTGTGGTGGTTAGCACCGTCACCTCACAGCAAGAGGGTTCACGGTTCGATCCCGGGTGTGGGAGCCCCCCCGTGCGGAGCCTGCATGCTCTCCCCGTGTCAGCGTGGGCCCTCTCCAGGCACTCCTGCTTCCTCCCACAGTCCAAAGACATGCAGATTGGGGATTAGGTTAATTGATAACTCTAAATTGTCTGTAGGTGTGAATGTGAGCGTGAGTGGTTGTCTGTCTCTATGTGTCAGCCCTGCGATAGTCTGGCGACCTGTCCAGGGTGTACCCTGCCTCTCGCCCGATGTCAGCTGGGATAGGCTCCAAAAGCAAAAAAAATGTCAATTTGCATTGTTGTACTGACATAGTGCATTTATTTTGAAAGACGCAATATGTAAACTGTAAATTTTCTGTGAAAACTAAAGTGTATTTTGAAAGTAGATGATGCATGTAACAGGAAGAACTTGACACAATGTCCCAGAACATCAACAACCAACGCACCCAGGGTACACATCAATATGTGACAAGGTCATAGTGAGAATGTGTTGTATGGAGCCACTTTGGTTTTGCTTTGAATCAATGGGACGATGTTGAGAGAGTGGTGGACAAAGAAACAACGGTATATTGCATCTGCTACATACAGTAGGTTGAAAATACTTCAAACATGTCAACTAATTTTTGATGACTTCACCTAAGTGTGTTAATAGGTGAAACAAGACAAAAACAAACAGCAACATCCATGCCTCAAGCTAACATTATCCTTGCAGCCATTCCTAACCGATTGAAACAGGGCATAAGAAATCACCGTAGGAATTGGTACTGAGCTGAGGACATAGGACCTGACTCTGTAAGGGAAAACGCAGGATTTACGAACACGCATAATGTAATTTAGTCTCGTCACAATATTCCTTCACAACCTAAACCTTAACCATTGCAACTAAATGCCTAACCCTCATGAATGCTAATATTTACTCATACTGTGATTGTGCTGCCAACAGGGTTTCCATCAGAGTTTACGACTGTCGAGGAAGTGATCAAGTTCATCACCATGATAATCTTCACAGTGACAGGTCAACATGCTGCAGTCAATAATGGACAGGTACGGCAATGACTAGTTCTGAAAACTTCCTGAAGTTTTAACAAACTTGATTATTGATCAAATGTATGGAATGAGCAGCACATCTGGAATTTTTAAGTGGTGGAAAGATTACATTTCTTACATTGTTTTATATTCTGTTCTATATAACAGTTAATATTATACCTATTTCTATACAGTGGATTTCAATTAAAGAGCCCCTCTAACAGAACGTTAGACTTATACAAAGAGACAGCTGTTTGTTCATTTGTTTTCTACTGACTTTCAAGGTTTATCATTTTACCCCAGACTTATACATATGAGCACGGACCAACAACATAATATGTGAGTTAAGTTGGAGGACTTGTGTGTCTGATGTGGGTTTTTTATGAGAAGTTCAATTAATGTGTTAATTATTATGCTCTGTACCTCACTAAAAAATACTGAATAAATATGCAAATAAGCTGAACTGCTGGACACAATGTCTATTTCAATTGTCATTGTGACTAAAGAGCAGTTGCTGTTTAGTGCAGAGATTGTATGCAGTAAAGCACAAACATAATATCTTTCAATCACCATAGATCTTCAATGCTTAAAACCATGAGTCTCCCTCTGAAAAAGCCACTAAATGTAGATTGTATACAGCTGTAATACTTTAAAACAAGTTTCAAAAGCATGCCTTTCCGAGAACATGTTTGAAACCAGCAACAGAAGGAACTCTATGTTCTTTACATCTAGCTCCTTAAGTTTCCACAAAGTGGTTACACAAGTTGGAGAGTAGGGATGCACCGAAATGAAAATTTGTGGCCGAAGCCGAATAACATTAAACGCTTGGCCGAATACCGAGTACTGAATACAGAATATTGTTGTTTAGTTTTTCATTAGTTTTTGCAGATGAACCCCCTCCAGATTAGTGTTGTCATGGTACCAATATTGGTTCCCACTGTTTGATACCATTGAAATTATCATGGTTCTGAGTAGTATCATGATATCACAGTGAAAATGAGGCAGATGTGCCTTTTGTCATTTATAAAAAGATAAATCACTTTTCTATATCAATGATATTTCAGTGGAATAAATTATTTATTGACTTATTCATACTTCAAAAACAGCATCAATCAGTGATGAACATAGGGGGGATCAAAATAAAATAAATAAATAAAATAAAAATCAACCAGCCACCCTCCTCCCCTGACAGTCCCTTCATAAGTAATGAACAGTCCCTAAAGTGCGGCGAGGTTTGTGGGCCGTGAACGGCTCGTTTCTCCTCTGACACATCACATACCTGTGTTTGGCTTGCTCGGCTGTTCAGGTACTTCTGGGCAGTCTTTACGCCAAGAAGAGGATATTATTGGAGCCGACTTCTCCGTCGCCCAGTAAGCCAATGGCCACCGTATTTGACAGGAATACATTCCTGTCTGTGTCTGTGACCCCCGTTCAACCCACAATCAGTGGGATTCGCCTTTCGTTTCTGCTGCTGGTTGAAATCTGTAGGCTGCTCGCACAGCGTGCTGAATGATTTAAGCCTATTTTGCTCGCTCAAAACTATTTTTAGTCGTAAATGTGAGTGCTTTGATGGTCGGATCGCCACACTGCCGACATTTTACTCCACCCATCACGGCACACTGTTTGATTGCGTTATCAAAACACGCCACTATTATTCGGCCTTGCTTTTAACTTATTCCACCGAATACCGAATGTGTGTTTTTTTGCATTATTCGGCCGAATATATTCGGTTACCAAATATTCGGTGCATCCCTACTGGAGAGTCCTAGTCACACCCACTCTTATGCTCTTCTGTCTTAGCAACCTCATATGTTATGTAAGCAGTTTTATGTTAAGTGGATATGTACGCAGAAATTCTCTGAACAAGAAAGTTACACTGCCATGAATTCATTACCATGTGAGGACACATATGTTCTTGCAGCTCATAAGTGCACATGCATTTATTAAACAATTTTAAGTACACAGTGAGAAGGCCACTCTCAGTGTGTTTGAGCTGGAGGTTTCAAATTTCACTAGTTGCACAGTGGACCATAATTTTCTACCAAAATAGTTGAACTCACAAAATCATGCTTGTATGCACACATCTTAAAGTTAGACTTAAGATAGGCACCGAGAACGTTTTTGGGAAGAAAAAACCTTCTGGTGTCAGATCATCATTCTGCACAGTGAACAGCAAACATCCAAGTGAAGTAACAATAAGCAATTACAAAATTAAATAGTAATACATACTGTAAATTCTTTGATTATTTAGTATGACTACTACCCCTGGATCCCCAATGGCTCGTTCCTGCTACGCAAAGCTCCTCCAACCACTAAGGGGCAGTCAAGCATGAAGACACTTTTGGAGACCCTCCCAGATGTTGGACTGACGGGAAAATTTGCAGCATTGTCTTGGATACTTTCAAACAAGTACACTGATACGGTAAGTTTGGTGATGTTATACAAAATCATTGTAATCCATCCACACTTTAGAAGTGCTTCTAAAAACTGTAACAAATAAATTACTGTGTCAATCTAATCTTCTATTTTACTTTGTCATTTTTGTAGGTTCCCATGGGTTCATACCCAGATGAACGATTCAATGAGCCTGCCCCTAAGCAGATGATTAAGGAATTTCAAGCAGAGTTGTCCTTCCTCAGTGAAGAAATCACAACAAGAAACTCACAGCTTGAAGTACCCTACACATATCTGAACCCTGCTGTTGTGGAGAACAGTGTAACTATTTAACTAAGCCTGATAAAGCCTTTTTTATCCTTCTGCATCAATCAACAACTAGTGCAGTGCCTGTTCAAAACTGTGTCGACTGCTTGGCCTATTTTGCTGCTTGCTGCATTCTCGAGAACCACTCATACAAACAGTTTCACACACTGAATTGTAGCCTACTACTACATTTGCCTGACAGAGAGAAATGACACAGATTCAGATTTTGCTCCTAAAAACAATTAAAATGTGATGCTTTATTTTTCATTAAACTATTCAGGAATATATGAGAATCAAACACTTCACCTTAAACAGACTTTAATTACTGATAATACCTCCGTCACTCTTCACTTTACAACAGACAGTAGATTTAAACAGCGGCGGTGAGTTGCTGGCAGTAGCGTTATTAGTGTTGTAAGTTAGGATAGCAAACGTACAAAATGGATGCAGGTGAAGACATGCTCAAATCCACATCACTGTAGTTATAAGGCAGAACAGGGATTTACATAGCAGGTATTTAGCATAAGCACACACACACACCACTCACTTGGCGACCTTTTGTAACTTACGAATTTGAGTAATCTCAGTCAGTGGCTCCTCCGGCAACAGCACAGTGTCTCTCCTCCTCCATCTTCTGTCTTGCTGTGTGCAAGAAGGCAGGAGAGAGTTACTATAGTCAGCAGTTGGTTAATCAGGACAGCTTAGTAAAACAGCTTTACACTTGACAATGCGTTACTTTGGGTCCGGGAACAGACATGTTTATTATTCTGAAAGTTGCATGACTAAATGTTTCAGTTTGCTACAATTTAACATCTCTTTATTCATCTGTTGTGAAGACATGCTCGAAGGCCCTGCCCCTGCTGCCGGAAAGAGTCACAGTGCGCTGTTTGCTTGTTTATTAATATTATTAATACTAAACTTATCTAAATCACACTAAATTTGCCAATGCACACTCAAGGGTCCCAAGCAATACACCTGCCAAGTGTGAAGTAGACTGGATGAACAGTTCCTGAGATATGTGAAGGACAAATATGAAACGGCTACATACAAGCAGAGATTTCTTGTTTTACAGTTAGATATTGATACCTTTTTAATAACACCCGTATTGCATGCTGGGTTGTGTGTTAAAACTATGTTCTGGGTTGTGTTATTTTAAGTATAATGGCACCTATATCTTTGTGTGAATTACACAGACAGATGTTGAGAAATAACAAATGAGAAGATTGGGTAACAATCTTTTTAAGTGTATTCTGTTATTCAAGTTCTTCTTACTCTTTAATGTTGTGAGTACAAAACAGTGTATCTGGTAATGAATGATGGCTTATGTACTTCACCAGTATGTGTTTTAATTATTAATTTGCTTTGTTTGCAGTTCATATTAAAATGGCATATGGTTCAATAATCTCATTCAGTGTGTGCTGCATATGTCAACATAACTTGATTAGTGTCACTAATTCAGTATCTGAGCAAATGTCTCCCCTTCTGTTCCTGAGATATGACATTGAGTAATGGCCAGAAAAGTGTTTAATGCACAATACTATGATGTCACAGTGAAATTGACCTTTGGCCTTTTGAATATAAAATGTCATAATTTTATTATTTTATCCTATTAGACATTTGTGTGATGTTTTGTCATAATCAGCATACAAATGATTGAATTATTGCCAAAAACATGTTTTATAAGGTCACACTGACCTTGACGTTTGACCACCAAATTCTTATCAGTTTATTCTTCAGTCCAAGTGGACATTTGTGTCAAATTTGAAGAAATTCCCTTCAGGTATTTTGGAGTTACCTTGTTCAGAGAATGAGGAGGGCGCAAGTATGCAGTATCACATCTGTTTATTATTTGTCACAAGGGCAGCAAATATAAAGACAATAACAGAAGCCCCAGAACTGAGCCCTGCGGGACACCACATGACAGTGTGAAAGTCTCCTATAGAGATTGAGAAACTCACACTCAATCACATAACCTCTTGATTATGATATGATGGTCTACTGTCAAACGCAGAGTGGAGGTAAGGACACACTAACACAAAACAGTTACCTGCATTAGAGGACATTAAAATATCAATTGAAACTCTCAGAAAAGCAGTTTCAGTAGTGTTGTTTTCGAAACCATGACTGTAACTTATAAATATTGTGTCTCTCCAACATGGCAGGGAACTGAACCTTCTCTAAAACATTTGATAATTATGGTAGTTTAGAAATAGGCCTACAGTTTATTGCTAGAGCAGGACTGCAGTTAGGTTTCTTCAGTATAGGCTGAAAGGTAGCATGCAATAGCAATAGGAAGGGACACATCCTGGAGACAAGAAATTACCAATAGCTGCCACAGGGGGGACAATACTTGAGAACTTTTAAAAATAAAAGACAATTGTATTACACACACAGGGCTCTAAGACAGCTTCCTTTTCCTAATCAAATTTTCCCAAATCCATCCAATCCATACATTTGACTGTTAATTCAGACACTTTAGTGCTGTGAGGAAAAGCTCTGCTCTTTTTGCCTCTCTCACTGCACTGCGCTGTCAGTCTACACCGATCATTTAATCAGCTGTGTGATCAGCGACTTCTTGGACTGAACCAACTCAAAAGGCGGTCCAGAAATACGTTTTTTTTCAGGGCTGCTTGTTTTAGTCAGTTGCTGAAAATGGTTAAACTTTTATTGATAGAGGCTGTTAAAATATATTCACCTAATTGAGGGAACTGTATGATGATGAGATATAAGAAAAAGGTGGGGTAGCAAAACTTTAACTTTGTTTCCCCAAATTGAATTATGGCATGCATTTGCTTCACTTGCTTCATTACTCAGGCACCTATGCATGCGAGCCCCAACTGCGACAGCACCATTGATCACAAGAACACCACTTGGCACACACAGATGTCAATCATGATGTCACCCCCTGTTTTTATAGCATCAAATTAATCCCAATCAGAAAAATGAACATTTCAACATACAATGATAAAAATGAGCTAAAATAAATTAAATCATCTTTGAGAAATAATGATTTGATGTAAACTTTGATTAGTAGATCTGCTAACATGGAGTGGACAGAAGAACCTTAGTATCCATCTTTGCTTTGGTGTCATTGTAGTAGTTACCTCTGTTGTCAGCCATTTAATCTTTGTCTTTGTCATACCCACACACACCTCTCTCTCGCTCGTTCTAATGCACACACCAACCTTTAGTGTCCTAGTTAGATTTATCTTGATTGTAGATTTGTGTGTTTATTTTTACTTTTGCTTTATTGTGAATAAATACGTTTGAATCATACTTGCTGTCTGTTTAATGTTGAATGAATCCTCCATCCTCTGCTATGTCAATAACTCCAAAATCCTTTGAGGTGTTGGTAGTAAGCCATTACAAGTTTTCACGTTCCTTTTTGGAAACTGTACGTCTTTGAGCTAAACGTGATTGAGTGGGAAGAGTATGCAAGAAGCACCTCCATTGCAGCCCACCCAGCCTAAGTCTACCCCCTGCATGGCCTAAAGCATGGTGGATTTGAAAAAAAAAAAAAAAAAAAAAAAAAAAA